TGTGACTAAGCATTGCCGACACCCCAATATCCAGCAACCTTCTGGGGTTTCCCAATACTGCTCAGCATTCTCTCCCAGGCGCTTTACTTAACTGGCCATTAACCATTCAAATCCCTGGGAACCCACACTGTTGTGTGGCACCATGTCTGGGATATGTTCCTGCCAGGTCTTGATCCCTGCCGTGTGAGCTCTGGGGCTCACTGTATGTGGAGGGAGAGACATGCACGTGTGTGTACACGGATGCCCTCAGCAGTGAATGTGGGCACAGCCTGTGTGAGGAAGGCTGTCCATGGTCATGACTGCCGAGTTCATCTCTGGGAGCAGGAGTGGGTGAGTTGGTCAGTGGGAATTGGGTGTACTTTGCCATATGACCTGTTCTGTCTCAGCTTTCACTGCAGGAGCACACAGCATGCACAGAAGGGGTTTCACAACTCGGGAGGATTCCTGGTGGTTGTGTGGGCAGGAGGGACTCTGTGACAGGGCAGGATGCCTGTGCAGAGGAGCCCTGCTTGGCTCTCGCAGCCCTGCCGGGGCTTTGTGACCCCTCTGTCTCTGGAGCTGCCTGGGGCTCACCCATGGAAACGTGCTGTCTTCTGCCCATCTCCCCGTAGCAGGACTTCCCCCCAGGCCTGCCTGCACATGTCAGTGAGCCTGCTTTGGTTTTTGAGGTGGCACTGTCCTCGTGTAGCCCCTGTTGCATTCCTTCACTTACTTGTTTACCAGGCCCAGGGTTCTCTGAGCTCCCTGCCCTGGCTGTGCAGTGTTCTGCACGTACAGGCTTTCAGGGTCACACAGGTCAGCCCCACACTTCACTGCCTCACTTCCCTCATCTCTCCCAGCAAGGTGTTTTAGGATCCATGCTCAACCCTGTCTCACATTTTCCTGTAGCTTCTCTATCTGTATTTTCCTTTTGAAATGCGGGAGCCCCTGGTGTGGTGCAATAGCTCCGTTAGCTAATCCTCCCTCTTCGAGCACTGGGATCCCATATGGGCATCGGTTTTTGTCCTGGTTGCTCCACTTCCCATAAGGCTCCCTGCTTGTGGCCTGTGAAAGCAGTAGAGGATAGCCCAAAGCCTTGGGACCCTGCTTTCATGTGGGAAACCCAAAAGAGGCTGCTGGCTCCTGGCTTCAGGTTAGTTTAGCTCTTAAGAAGTGAATCAGCTGGTGGAAAATATTTCTCTGTGTCTCTCCTTCTCTCTACAAATCTGCCTTTCCAATAAAAATAAATAATTCTTTAAACTTGGGAGCCTCAAAGTTAAAAGTTTCTATTCAAAGTAGCAAAAATCTGGGCCTGACATGGTAGCCAAGTAGCTAAAATCCTTAGCTTGCACATGCTGGGATTGCATATGGGCGCCGGTTCTAATCCCAGTGACCCTACTTCCCATCCAGCTTCCTGCCTGTGGCCTGGAAGGGCAGTTGAGGACAGCCTTGGAACCCTGCACCCATGTGGGAGACCTGGAGGAAGCTCCTGGCTCCTGGTTTCAGATTGGCTCAGCTGCAGCCATTGTGGTCACTTGGGAAGTGAATCAGTGGACGGAAGAGCTTTGTCTCTGCCTCTCCTTCTCTGTATATCTGACTTTCCAATAAAAAATAAATAAGTCTTCTTTTTAAAAAAAAGTAGCAAAAAGCTGATAGAATGCCAGAGCTTTCACTTTTCTTGAAGAAAATAGTATCTAATTTACAATGAATCAGGTTTTTAAAATCAATGGAACAAATATGTGAACATTATTTTGAAATATCAAAAACTTAGTATTTTTTAAGTTCCATATTTCAATCACATTCAAATGGGGATAGTTTTTAGTACATAAAACTTATGGCGTAGCAGGTTGAACCACCACTTGCAAAACTCGCGTCCCAGTTGAAGTGCTGACTCCGAGTCTGGCTGCTCTGTCTCTGACCCACTCCTCGCCAGCGTCCCAGTTGAAGTGCTGACTCCGAGTCTGGCTGCTCTGTTTCTGACCCACTCCTTGCCAACGTTCCTGGGAAGTTGGTGCAGATCGTTTGAGCCCTCGGCCTGCCACCCGCACAAAAGCACAGGAGTCCTGGTCCCGCCCCGGGCCTGGCCCAGACCGGACTTGGCAGGCATTTGGAGGGTGAGCCTGTGATGAAAGATCTCTCCCTGTCTCAAATACATAAATAAGCAGATTTTTTAAAATGACAAAACCAATAATACCCTGACTTTGAATCAGCGGATGATTGTTCTTGATTCCTTCCAATGTGAACTTATTTGTAGATGGAATCTGAATTTGGCTTTTTACTGATTTATTTTTTACTAAGTGGCTTGCTTGTACTTCCAAAGTTTTGTTTTTAAAGGTACTCTTATCTTGCCAAATGTTACCTTCAGATCTCTTTCCAGAAAGGCTTTTCTCAGCACTCAATCTTTTTGCTTGCATGGGAGTTGAGCATGGGTTCCTGTGCCAGCCTTGCCTTGCCAGCATCTGACAGCCCCAGGGCAGGCTTGAGGGCTTGGTGCGTGTGGCAGTTCCCATGCTTTCTGGTGTATGGAGCCCTCACAGCCCAGCTGTGCAACCCCACTGTTTGATTGGCTGGACAGGAAAGCATTAGTGTTTATTAGCATGGTGATACAATCTGGTTAAGGGTGAAATGAAGATAAATGTTGTAGCTGCAGAAATCCCATGTGCCTTGCTGAGAATAACGTGGGTGCTAGCCTGGCTTGAGGTGTGGTGGAGGAGCTTTGAGGAGGAATGACGCCACAGGGCTGTGCCTCCTGCAGGAGCAGTACTAAGAGCATCCTTGGGTTCCTGACCTGGAGTGTGCTGGGCTGACCTGCCCCACCTCACCCTGCGAAACTCTCCAGTTCGTGCAGGTGCAGCTCCCAAAGGCCCAGAGATGGGTCCCTGAGACTCCCCTCGTCTCTTGGCTTTGGTTGTGCTTCGGTTTCTTCAGCTGGGGATGACTGTGGTGGGAGAGAGGATTTCTGAGGTTCCTCTCTCATCTAGAATCTGGCCTCAGCTTCAGATAGGATAAAAAGGAATTTATAAATTTTTAAATCCTTGCTTTTAACATAGACCAGCTTGCATTATCCTCAGGGCCAGAAGTTATTTGAATGTGGGATTCAGACTTCACTCTGCTTTTAAGCTTGGTAGACCAAAACATGTGTTCCTTAGAAAATGCCAGGAATCAGAAACCCACATTGCACATGTCAGGTTCACTTTGTTAGGCTGGTAGTGACTGGGAAGTTACCCTTCACTGATGGACTTGGAGTCCGGAGAGACTGCCTGTCAGATCTGTGAGATGCACACATCTGGAAGAAGGCAGCACCTCTGTGGCGCAGGGCTGATGTCTGCTGTTCCTGCCGAGCCCCTGGCACAGGTGCTGTCTCCTGTCAAGGTGAGCTTCATGTCACCATCACGGTGCATGGGGACCCTGTCCCCTTGTCTTTTTAGAGGAAAGGCCATGAAAAGAACACAGCTTCCTTCGGCAGGCTCTAAGCCAGGCCTTGTTCTGGATGTGCAGTCTACTAACCCTCCAGAGCCTTCCTGGCCAGTGGAAACAGACAAGAAGGGGACATGGTGCTGTCAGACACTTATGGAGGTAGGAGAACCTGGAACAGGAGGTTACTATAGCCAGTTACATTTAGTGACCTCCTGATGTGCCAGCATTTGGTAACTTTAAAAGGGCTCCTTCTCTTGATTATATCTCATACCAGCTGCTCCATTGTAGTCTTTGTATTATGGCTTAAAGCTCAAACAGCAACCAGGGGTAATCCATCTGCCTCCTGGAGTATTTGCCCCTTTAAGGTGGGGACGTGGGTTTGAACTCTCTGTGGTATGTTTTAGAAGCCACTGTTCAGAACCACTTGGTCTGGTAGCATCACTGCTCAAGGCCTCACAACACATCCTGCTCTCATGGGGGGCTTTCCTCTTGGCAGCCCACCCCAGCTTGGTGCAGATCTTTCTGGTTGGTAAAAATTCACCAAGTGTCTCCATGGGAGCGTGTCTGCCACAACTTTGTTCCACTCTTGGGACCATCAGGATGGGGCATAGTGAGTGTGGATAGAGTCGGACTGATTGTCAGAACTTATCTGTTTAGGAGGTAGATCTTGGAGGTAAACTCACTGTGAATTACATTTGGGAACAGGATTTTCCAGCGGATTACTGGTTAGCCATGCCATTTCTGTGGGGGTGAATGTGCAGGTACATGGGGTGACATTTGTGTGAGTTTGCAATCTTGGTGCATAAATGCAGCTCTTGGGGAATTTTTCTGAAGGAAGTGCATGAAGGATCTGAGGAAGCAACAGTAGCCTGTGATGTTGTGGCAACCAAGGTGTTGGCATTGAGCTGTGATCCTAATTCTGGGACCTTTCATCCCCAGGGTGAATTCTGCCTGTACAGGTCAGAGCGTTGGGTGTAGGGGCTCTGGCGGCAGCTCCTCCGGGGCTGTCACTTCTGCAGTGTCTGTTCACAGGTGGGGTGCAGCCATCTGTAGCGAGAGCTGAGCCACACATAGTCTTGGGAGGTTCCTGTGGGGATTGCCAGATGTCAGCAGTTGATATACTTCATGTCACCCCAGGACACTCTAGTTTGAGCTTGAGATGCCACTGAACATGACGACACTTGGCTGCTTATCGGGGTCTCCCGTCCTGCGGAAGAAATCACCCGACACTGGGGAGAGTCTCAGAGGCGCTTTATTCAGACCATCCGTTAAAAACCATTATGTCCGTTAATTCTGTTACGCTGAAGTTCCTCCCCCGCCAAGCCCCCAGCTTATATGTCAATCCTGTCCAATCAGCACCCAGACACACCAATCAGGGCAAAGGGCCAATCACAGGGCAGGAAATTGTCAGTGCCCCCAACAGCTGCTGAACACCATATGTGCTCAGAACTATCATGGCCTTGTGAGAAAATTGTTACCCCCAAAAAGCATGGATCTGAGTGCCATTCTGGAATCTCTATCAGTTACCCTTTGACCCACCGAGACAGTTATAGAGGACTCTAGAACATGACTCAGCTGACCTCTTTGCCCACTTTTCTCCCCAGATATTGATGAGTGTGCTGAGGGGCGCCATTACTGTCGTGAGAACACGGTGTGTGTGAACACCCCTGGCTCCTTCGTGTGCATCTGCAAGGCGGGCTACATCCGGATTGACGACTACTCCTGTACAGGTAAGTGGGGGCTGGCGTGATTTCCAGCAGTCTCTGTAACTATTTGAATACGTCTGCCTTGAATATTCCCTCTCAGTTAATCAGAAGCACAACCCCTTCCTCTTGGTTTGGTAATGAAGAACAAATCTGTTCTGAGGAGAGGAATATCTCCCTGCTGGGCAAGTTCTGAGCCTCTCATTAGGAAGATGAAAGACCACCTAAGGAATCCTGCAGGTTTGTTCCTGCCTTGGATGGAGCCCCCAGACACGTGTGACTCACTGTGGCTAACTGGAGAAGTGACTCCTGGGGCGTTGAACAGGACAGATGCCTTCGGACAGGAGTCTGGGCCGCGGGAACATTGAGCAGAACAGATCTTGAGTGACGGCCAGGGAGTGCAGAGACACACCAGCTCCAAGAAGGTTTCTGGATTTTGTTTTAGGAAGTCCCACCCTCTGTGTCCTCTTCAGAACCCTGCTGGGGGGTGTCCTCAGTGTTAGCAGTTCGCAGTGTTGGTCTTGGGGTCCTGTAAATGCTTCCTTTGTCTTTCAGAGGTTCCTCCCTGGGGAATATTAAAAAAAAAAAAGAGTGAAAGCTTGGCTTGAAGACTGGGCTTTAAGGAAATGTGAGCGTGAAATAGGATATTCCTCTGGATTTAAAATTATTAAATTAGGCCAAAAAAACCCCCCACAGAATAGCATTTAAAAATATATAGCCATAAAACTAGAGAGCACCTAGAAATACCACTCCTGTTGCTTTTACCTCCAGCTCTGCTGGACAGACGGTACCTGACTGTTCCCAGGGATGGACTCTAGGACTCCCTGATAAAAGCGCAGATCTGCAGTAGAGGCTTCCCTTCCCGTCGCTGTGCTAGCTACCTGCTCCGAAGGCTGCATTTTAGTGTCCATACTATGTGCTAATTCACACCCCGATGATCCCCGATGATGGGGAACAAAAGTAATGAGGGGGTTGGTTTTCCAATCTGTAAGGAATAATAGACACTGAAAGTACAAAAGGTATTCCTAGAGGTGCCAGTGGATTGACAAATCCTGGCTTATTTATGTCAGTTCAGCCTAAACTTTTCAAATGGGAATAACTATAGTTTTCTTTATAGAAAATTTAATGCTGCTGAACACAGAGTTCTTGAAGGAGGTATACAGGCTTATTTCCAGTGTGAGAACAGTGTAGCAGTCAAGGCCAGCTGAGTGGAGAGTGTAACGCGTGGCTGTCTGTGACACGGGCAGTCCCACTAAACCTGAGTGACAATGCTGCCTGAGCGACACCACCTCGGTCAGAGGGTGCTCTTTCTGTGTGCTCAGTGAGATCACCAGTCACTTGTGAGGAGTCACTGGTTGCTTGCCATTTTGTCCTGTTTGTGTAGACAAACTGTTGTGTATTTCTATGAAACACGAAGAGAGATGGAAAAGGTGGGAAATAAATGGGGAAGAAAGAAAGGGAGAGAAGGAAGGAGTGGAGGGGTTGGTTTTCATGAGGCCTGGCGTTTGAGATGCCCCGTCCTTCCCACTCTGTATGTGTGCTGGAGGCTCAGGCTGTCTGCACCCACAGGTTTCTTGCTTGGTTCACATATGCATAGTGAGGCTTCCTCAGTCTTGCTGGCCATCTCTTCTTGGAGCTGATCTTGTGTCACAGGCAAAGGATGAAACAACCATGGAATGAGAATTGTGCAAGTATGTGAGCAAAGAAGCATGCGCTTCAAAGCTTGCCAGTGTTTGCTGTGCTTGCTGTGTGCAGCTTGAAGGGAATTCCCATTCCCCTCTGCAGGCAGGACAAGGATGCTCTGGCTGCAGCCCGGTTCTGCCTGATTTGGGCAAGAGAATGGGAAGCAGGTGAGTGGAGAAAGAGGTGGACAATGCTTTGATGGTCCTACCCAGCTAGGGAGTGAATTGATGCTTCTAGCCCATAGTCGTCTGGTCGGGGGTGATTTGCCCCCTAGACCTGCCACAGATTGTTGACCTTGGGGGCATTGTTGGCATTGCAGCTCCTCTGGCAGGGAGCAGTTGCTTCTGGTGTCTGGTGGCAGGTTAGGGCTAGTGCCCTGAAATGCCACGTGTTGGGCAGGTGTGCCCTGGAGGGGAATTCCTGATTCCTGCCCTATCAGCTGGGCGCTTCTCTTGGGCCCTTCTCAGGGACTCCACAGTCTTCAGCAGGCAGGACACAGAATGGTGCAGCCCCAGATGTCAAGAGCAAAACCGTGGCTGGCTGTGGAAGCACAGATCAGATTGTGGTGTGCACGTTTCCCCACTACATTTCCCTGCTCTGCATGCCATGTCCTTCAGGCCTTCTCTCTCCTTGAGCTACCCAGCATCCTTTGACTATCCTTTGCCATCTCAGGAAGCTGACCCCCAATGAACCCTCCTGTCACCGACCTGTCTCAGCTTGACCCAGGGACCGCATCTCCAATGGTGAAGTGGTAGGCTTTGGCAGATTTTTCAGGGTTTTTTTAGGAGTCCTCAGATGCTGCTATCCTGATGCCCACTCCCTGTGCTTCTGTTGAGTCTGAATGCCCCTGTCACCACCTTATAGTGTCGTGCCAACCATCACAGGTTCACCAAGAATTCCCCAGGAATTCACACTGCTGGCGGTTCTGAACATTGCATAGCACCAAACTCAACTTGGGCTCGTAAGTTAGCACTGCCTGTGTGCTGATTTCTGTAGAGTGGTCAGGAGTGTTCAGTTTGTCTGTCGTGTTTGGGGAGAAAGAGCAGAGTTGTATGATGATAGCAGTTTCTCTTCACTTCTGTGTATCATTGTAGGTCTCCTCCCCTTGAGTGAGCCGTGGGTGCTGCCTCTGGTGCAGAGGTGGCAGAGTTCCTGCTGGATGCCTGGGGGTATTGCTGCTGGGTCACCTTTTCATGCCCTTCCCCAAAGAGCTGCCGTGTGTGTCTTCACAGCTCTCTCAAATCATGTTGGGAAAGATAAATTGCTACAGCGTTTAAGGGAACAGTATTTTGGAAAGGAAATGATGACTTTATTTATTTTTCTAATCACTTTCATTTTTTATTTTATTATGTTATGATACAGTTCTATAGGCTCTGGGATTTCCCTTCTGCTATCTGCAAGTATCCCCCCCCAAAGGATTCCCTCATATTGTTATAGTAGTGTGGTCCTTCATAAGCGGTCCTAAGTCTGTCATTCTGCTCTTTAACTGTATCCTGACGTTGTAGGTATGGACAGTGGTGGAGAGGCCAGCACCCTATTGTCAAGCTGTATATAACAGTTTCACTGGGAGTCCATTTTTGATCTGGAAGTGGAGATGCATACTGCATTGCATCTGCACATCCAGATATGATCGTCTCTGTTACAGTTACTCTGCATTCGCCTAGATGAAAAGCCATAAAACAATCAACAACAGGAAGAGAAAGTAGAAAACCAACAACCACATCAAGTTAAATAATGTGCTACTGAATGACCAGTGTGTGATTGAAGAAATGAAAAAGAAACAGTGCTATTGTGTGACCTTGAGTCAGCGAAAAAATGAATAAGAAAAACAAAAACATTATTTTAGAATGAATGAAAATAAAAACAAAGATATCAAACCCCCTGATATATAGTTAAAACAGTATTGAAAGGGCTATTGATCTTGTATTTTGCATGGAGGTTGCCTTATATCACAGAGAACATATGATATTTGTCCTTTTGGGATTGACTTATTTCACCAAGAGTAATGGTCTTTAGTTGGAACCATTTGGTTGCAAATGGTATAATTTCATTTTTTGGTGTTTAAGTAGTATTCTGTGCAATAGACTTGCCCAGTTTCTTTATCCTCCCCTCTTTAGACGGGCCTCTGGTTTGTTTTCATGTCTTTGCTGTTGTAGATTATTCACTGGCTCCCAGGATAGACGTTATTCAGAATCTGGGATTGAAAGAGGAGCTGGCAGGCACTTTCAGGCACTTTCCAGGCACTTTCCTCTGGATGCTGACTCCAAAAGGAGGCATTCTTACTCAAGCTGGACAAATTGTGTAATTCAAAATAATGTAATTCTTTAGAAACTTACAGAAAAATGAGTTGTTTAGACTAAAATAACTTGGAAGCAATGCATGAAGAGAAAGCTGCCAGATACTGTGTGTTGTCTTCTGCACAGCCCTCCACCTGCCTCTCTCTCTCATAGACTAGGCAGGTCTGGCATCAGAGATTCAGCCTCTCGCTTTTGGAGGCTACAAGTTCAGGTCATGTGGACAATCTGTTCGAGAAGTGGAGCAGCTGTGGGGACTCCAGGACCCAGGCAATGCTGGCTCTCTGCCCTCAGCCACCCACTGCACCCACCCTTCTAGTCTGCTCAGGACGGGGAGTGGCTGTGGGGGCTCCCCAGGGCCCTGGAGATGCTGCCTGTCTTTCCCCCAGCTGTCCACTGCACCCACCCTTCCCAGCAGAATCCTGCTGTGGCTTTGTTTGTGTTGGATGGCCATGGGCTTGTGACTGGTGAAAGTTTGGGGGAGTGACCTGTTGGCCTCTGCAGTGGAAGGGCCCTTAGCCTTTTGTGGAGACTTGGGCAGTGGCTGCTCTTCCCAAAGGAAGGAAGGCACTTGGGTATGAGCTTCTATGGGGAGTAGAAGCTTCGTGGAGGCTGAGTGACACTGAGGACAGCATGAAGGGCAAGGTGTCACCGTATTATCCTCACTGCTGCCATCTCAGTGCAAACCTGCCTGTGTCAGACACTTCACGGCCTCCCTGTCTGCAGCTTCACAGCCTTGATCCTGGCCTCAGCCATGTCCCCCCTCTGCTCTACCCTCATCTGTGCACTCGCTCAACTTAGCAAGGCCTCTGTGGCTTCACACCTTTCTGCAGGTGGTCACCTCTCCTGCTTGGCAGAATGCGAGAGAAGAACATGACAGCATACCCTGAGAAGTGCATGCGCTGGAGCTCAGCCTGGCTCTTCGTGTGCTGTGAGCTAAACCTCTGTGGGGGTGAGGGGAAAGGGACATAGGGTGTGAGTGACGTAGTCATTGGACAGCCTGTCAGCTGATGTCAGGCTGTACAAACCCTGAATGGACTCAACAGGAAG